GGATACACAGCAAAGTTCTACAAGATCATTAAAGAAGAATGAATACCAATACTCTTAAATTTATTTCAGGAAATAGAAAAAGAGGCAGCACTTCCAAACTCATTCTATGAGGCCAATATCACCCTGATTCTAAAACCAGGCAAAGATACATCAAAGAAAGAAAACTTTAGACCAATATCTCTAATAAATATAGAAGCAAAAATTCTCAATAAAACCCTGGCAAATTGAATACAAAAATATATTAAAAAAATCCTGCACCATGATCAAGTGGGATTCATCCCAGGGATGCAAGGTTGGTTCAATATATAGAAATCAATAAATAATAAATAAATCAATAGACTTCAAAGAAGCATATGATCATCTCAATAGATGCAGAAAAAACATTTGACAAAATACAGGACCTCTTCATGTTCAAAACACTAGAAAACTCTGGGTATAATGAAAACCTATCTCAACATCATAAAGGCTATTTATTCTAAGTCTCAGGCCAACATCATTCTAAATGGAGAAAAATTAAAGGTATTCCCTCTGAAAACTAGAATAAGACAGGTATGCCCTCTTTCACCACTTCTATTTAAATAGTTCTTGAAACACTGGCCAGAGCAATCAGACAGATGAAAGAAATTAAAGGGATATGTATACTTAGATGACCCAGAAAACTCCACAGAGAACTTCTAGAACTAGTAAATGAATTCAGCAAAATAGCAGGATATAAACTCAACACCCAAAAATCAAAGGCATTTCTGTGTATCACTGAGAAATCCTCTGAAAGGAAATGAGGAAAATGACTCCATTTACAATAACCTCAAAAAAAAAAAAGATACTTGGGAATCAGTTTAACAAAGAGTAAAAGATCTATACAATGAAAACTACAGAACCCTAAAGAAAGAGATCAAAGAAGACCTTAGAAGATGGAAAGATCTACCTTGGCTTGGATAGGCAAAATTAATATTATCAAATGATGTGGCTGTATCCCAGCAGTAGGCTGTTTTAAGTGTTTGTCTATTGACAAAGGAGAGGGATAGCACGTCAAATGGTATTTCTATTCCCAGTTTTCCATGGATTCTCTCTGCTGCTTTCCATATTGGCTGTACCAATTTTCAGTCCCACCAGCAATATATGAGTGTACATTTTCCCCCCACATCATCGCCAACACTATTGTTGTTTATCTTTATAATAGCTGCCATTCTGACAGGAGTGAGATGGAATCTTAAGAGTAGGTTTGATTTGCATTTCTCTAATTACTAGAGATAATGAACAATTTTTATATATTTGTTGATTGATTTTACATCCTCTTTTGAGATGTGTCTGTTTAGGTCCTTGGCCCATTTATTGATTAGGTTACCTAGTTCCATTCTCATCTGTAGGTGGAATTTCCCACCCTCTCCTGACTACCACTGATTCTTTTCTATTTGTTTTTGAATGTGTGTACTCACTGCCTTTGTCAGTCTTCATTCCCTCTTCTTCCGTCCTTTTCCTTATTTCAAATTTACCTGTGAGAGAAGCATGTGTCAAATGCAACTAACAATACAATTTCTTTAGCAAATACACTCAATTCAACCTGTGGATGAAACCCAGTGAGATACACCAGTTCTTACATTTGTTTGTCCCTACTAGTTATTTAATAGGCACATTCCTTGAACAAGTGCTGTATACCAGTGCTCCTATTTTTTGGCCATTCTCTTTCCAATGCAGTTTGTATCCTGTGTTTCTTACCTTTTCCATGTTCATTTATTGTCTTTGTGCTTAGATCGAACTTACTGGATACATCAGAAGCACACTTCTCTCGAAGTTGCTCAGAATCACTCTGGTAAAAATAACGACAATAATGAGTTTTATATAGATTTCAGCTCCTCTCTTTGAAAATCATTCTATTTATAGTTATTAAGTCACTGCAATTGCAGATTAGACCATTACATTTTCTGCAATGATATTTTCCACATGAGACACAATTTCACATGCAGTCCAGGTGAAACTAAATTCTGCTCTTTATCTGGCTACTGATGGGGAAAATCGGGAAGAAAGAGAGGAAATTTGTTCCCTTACAACAAACTAACTGATATGCATATAACCAAAACAACTAACACCAGTGCTTAATTAGTAAACTCTGCATTCTCCCACAAAATAAAGAGTAGAAAATTTGTTTAAAATGGTTTTTTTGAATTAGATTTGATGTTATAGAGATACAACATTTTGAACAATGAAAGGCCAATTATTTGTTTGCTTAAATATGATACTTGATATGATAAGAGACTTTCAAATGGGTCATCTTGAATAGGAAGAAAATATTCT